GGAAGGAAGGAAGGAAGGAAGGAAGGAAGGAAGGAAGGAAGGAAGGAAAGGAAAGGAAAAGTCATGAGAAGAGAAGAGGAGAGGGCAGGAGAGAAGGGAGAAGAGGAGGAGAAGGGAGAGCAGGGGAAGTGAGGGGAGAAGAGAGAAAGGCTGTTTGTGAAAGGCTGATCATCACATATAGGTACATAAGTTAGGAGAGAACATGGGCAAAAGAAGACAGAAGTTTTTATGGGTAAAGAGAGTGAGAGAAGGAGGCTATAGACAGAGAAATAATTATTATCTTGGAGATACAAATTGCATAGGCTAGTCACAAATATGAGACTTAGAGAGTTTAATACCACATAGAGGAAAAAGAACACTCTGCCAGAATTAATCATTGCTTAGCTGGTGGTAGATGTGCAGAACTTAGGAGAGATCTGGGATTGGAGCGTATGGATGTGTCACAGATAAGCAAGCTGAGAACAATCAAGTCTTGGGAAATTAAAGGCTTCTAAAGATGATAGAGGGGAAATGAATACAGAAAAGAGGTTTCCTTAAGAATTTATCAGTTCAGTAATATATAAAAGATTTCCTTGCTTATGGTATTTTCTGGTCTAAATTGTGGTAAATGGAAAGTATTAAGCCATTAGATAAAGCTTGAAATGCATTTTGTCCTTTTATGTTGTGTTTGTCAACAGTAAAGAGGGTGTAGGGTTAGAATTGAGATGGATGGAATTGAGATGGATGGAATTGAGATGGATTGAGATGGAGAAAATAAATGAACTATCATTTTCAGCATGGAGTTGAAAACAAAACAATTGCATTTCAGGAAAAGAAGGTATTAATGGGCCTGATTCAGAGTACGTGAGGGAACATTTTAAGGGAGATTTAGCTCAAGCATAAATACATTCAGTCCTTCATGGCCCTTAGAAATTGTTGGGTACAGTAAAGGAGCAATGCATTGAAAAGACATTAATGTGCCCCCATGGCATCTTTAAAAGTAAGTATGATGATTAAAAATGAAAGAGAGTATAATAACAGAGTAATCTAACGGAATGGAACTGACTTCTAAAACGAAAATGCAAAAGGAGCTGTGTAACCTCAGATCCTCCTGGACCTAACCAGGTTACATGTTTATGGAAAATCTAGAGAAGCTGGTGTGAGAAGGGTTCATTAGCTACATGAGTGACAGAGTAGGAGAATGGATAGATAGTGGATGGACGGATGGATGGACAGACAGATGGGTGGATGGATGGATGGGTGGATAAAGGAAGGTGAAGTCATATTCTGAGCTTTGAACCACTTGTATCTAAGGGATGAAGATATTCCCAGCGTATTTGAGCGGTCAGTCTCCCTTGAGAAACAGTAAATCCAACTGTCTTCCTTATAAGACATGTGAGTCACCTCCTGTGTGAGACATTGAGGATCTGCAAATGTGCCAGACATTCTGTAAATAGCATTCATTTCTCATCATCAGTTTCCTTTTGCCATTCCTCACTCATCTTATGGGATGCGATGATGACTTATGATATAGAGTTAGCAGATATTTTTAATAGTGAAAGTCATTCTAACAATGAAAACATCACATTTCCTAAAATTCATTCTAAATGAAGCTTAAAAATCATCTATGTAATTCAAGAAAGCATGACTTTGAAGGAATACAGCTCTAAATTTAGCTCCCAGCTTTATCATTTCTGAATTGAGTGACCTTGAACAAATTCCTTTTACTTTCTAAGCCTGGAGGGTCATCTTGTGCAAACCCACAAAGCAGGCTCTAAGTGAATCTTGCCATAATCAGCGGTGATTCCTTCCCACTCGGCAAGAACACAAGCTGGCTGACTGATGTTGACTTTTGGCCCCTAAGAAGGACACAGTCCAGTGAAAAGTCAGAGCACAAAAGTGGATGACACAAGAATAAAAATCATACAAATGTTGGTATTCCAGTTTTACCACTCCACTCTGAAAAATTTCAAAAAGCACAGCTCATATTCATCATTAAATGCTCTACTATTGTATTGTTGAAATGTTTGTACACAAAACCCTTAATTGAACTACTTTATTACAGATGAGCACTATTCAATTCCAAAATGATTTTTAATATTTTGAGATCTAAGCAATTTAGCTATATTCTTGTTTAAAGTATCTTTCAGGGGCATGATGATAGTCAATTAGGAAGAGATGAGTGTTGAGTGCTTATTAGCTTTATATTTTTTAGAAGTTAGTGGTAATTTTCATAAAAACAACTGTCTTCAGCAATTGAGTGGGAAAATTTAACTTTCTATTTTTATTAGCGAACACCATGTCATAACGATGGATCCAGGACAAGGTTCTGATATTTAGGTTTCAGCCTCTTTACAAAATGAAAGAGCAAGATTTCCAATCCTGGAAAAATAACACCAACTTTGACAGGCTGTGATGTTCTTTGGGGGGGAGGGTTAAGGCAGAAGGATCACAAGTTCCAGTTATGCCTGGATAACTCAGTGGGATTCTGTCTCCAAATAAAATAAACAGTAAGTCAATAAATAAAAAGGACTGGGGATTTAACTTAAGGGGAAAATGAAATACCTTGATTCAATACCATAGCATTGGTTCTAACCATCACCTATTTTTATTTTTTTCACTAATTTACACAAAGGTGTTCTTCCTCCCTCGGTGTGCTTTCCTAGTGCTTTAGCTCTCCACACCCATGCCCTTGTTTCTGACTCTCAGGACTTGCCCGTGTTTAATGTCCCTGCTAAGAGCTATGAAACTCTGGACCGACTTCCATTCTCCTCACTTCTCTTCCTGGATAGCAAACGAGGGACAAGCCTCTATATGCAGCTGACATTCCCCTGGTCCATCCTCTCCACTCAAGTCCTTGACTCCTCTGCCAGGATTGTTCTGCACACCATTCCTTTTCCTTCACGTATCTTGTGTTTGCTTTCTGGATGCTTCCTTTCCACTTTTTTTGTTTAGGGCTAATTCAGATTCTTCTAATCCAACTCTAACAAAAGGACAGCTCCTCTCTACCTCCCTCTTTAATCCTAAATTCACTGAATTTTGAATATACAGATAGTGCGAGTGTCAAGTTGCCAGTGACCTATTCATGTGAAACCAATTTCTCAGGTCTTACCTTCCTGAATCCCTTATCTATATAATACTGTGGATCATTAAGAAAAACTTTGTTTCCTTGTCAGATATCCTAAACTTCTCAGAATCTCTGTGTTCTATCATGACATCTATTCATGACATCCACTGTCATGAACTCATTCACAGATACTTTAAACTCCACATGCTGAGATGGAACTCACTATGTCTCCTTCTGTAAGCCAGAGTTTTTCACTGTATCTACTGACGCAGTCCATGAAATCCCAAATGCTCATTTCAACAAACTGAAAGTGTGCATGAATTTTCCTCCTCCCTTTAATAATAACACAACCAACATTTGATTCACTCTTTCAACCAATAATCAAATTTGTATTCATTTTTGCCTATGAAAATTCTATGAATTCATCCTCTCAATTTTTTAATGTACTAATGCAGAAAATCACTAAATAACTGCATTACACACAATCTGACATGTTGTAACCCTTCCTCCATATAACTTCGAAATCAGTGCAAAACATTCTGTGTCCATTTTGCATTTGAAATTCTTTAGTATGATGAAGATAAATGTACTATCCTGCAGATGTGATAAATTTCTACCTACTCTAGTGAGTATACCTGCCTGTAACTCACTAAAAACTTCTGAATAAGATCAGTAGATTCCACCAATGGGCATGTGTATTCTGGTTTTAGCATTTCATAGTAGTTTTACAAGGTCTTGTCACTGGAAGACACATGGGTAAAGAATCTCTAAGGTAACACTGTATTATACATTACAACTACATGTGAATTAACAATTGTCTTAAAATACAATGTTCATTTAGAAAAGTCTTAGTTTTTTATTCTAGTACCCATTATGCTTCCTGGAAATCATACATGTTTTGTATATGTTTAATCTCAGCAAATAAATGTGCTGTTCAGGTAGCTAGGGACCATCATTAATAACTCCTGTTATCTTCTATTATGTAAATAGATGAAAACACACATTTGAAAATTTAGAAGGATTTATTAATTTAGCATGTTATTTATCTCTTTACATTATGAATAGTAATGATAAAAAGCTTAGCTAATTTCATTCTGGCGCAAAATTAGTCTGCTGATCATCACAGTGACTCTGCACAGATAATATTCAAATTTGAAGAATGCATCATCCGAAAAAGCTACTATTTCTCTTTCAATATATAGACATCAACTTTAAATATATATGTATGTATGCACATGCAAATATATGTAAATATACAAATATACATATATGTAAATTTGATGACCCACTAACTAAATGAAGCAAACAGAAATGACATTAATTTTCAGAATATTCAAATGTTTGCTTATCCCTTATTCTAACAGAATTTTCCATTTAAAGATCACTCACAAGCATATACTAAGGTAAACAGTGATTAAAAATAAACTGAAAACTTAAGTATGGAGTTTTCAATTTTTTGTCCTTGAGTGTGATACTAAGGTTGTATTTATGAGATGAGTGATAAATCTGAGACTGAAATTTAAGTTGTCTGAGCTCATTTTTGTTTTCTGTTTCTATTTCTTGCCTGCTAGAGGCAGAATAAACAGGTAATCATTTGAAACAATTAATGATAGGTCAGATTCGCTGTCAGACTTAATGAGCAAATGTTTATTTTCTTTTTGAAATCTGCAGAACACAAATATTGGATAGTGGAAGCATTGCACATAATAACTCTATTTTTAATTAGGAAAGATAAACTTTGATAAAGACTTGAAAGCTTGTGAATTTATGTTGAAATAAGATCCATAATGTTCCTAAAGAAATATAAATTATGCAAGTTCTAAAACGTGCTGTATGTACCTGTATGGTTTTATAGGCTCACTCTATGTTTTCTTCATAGACTATGCTTTAATTTAAATATTCATTGTCATAAATGCAGAAAGTACAATCTTAGCTTCGTTTTTGTTCTTTTAAGCTTCGTAGAAACCCCAGGTCATTTCTCTTGGAAAGAAAGTTATTACCGGTCTACCATGTCCCAGAGTACACAGACGAGTGAATTCCTCAGTCCAGAGGTTTTCCAGCATATCTGGGATTTTCTAGAACAGTAAGTATCCAATAAATAAGAAATGTTGTAATTGAACAATTAAAACTAGATACATATGGATGGACAAAATATTGCTGACAGTATGTGTCTAGAATCAGTAAATAACTAGTTATCGTTGAGGAAATTTACCATCTCTAGCATCATTACAGTTTTCAAAATCCAATGGTTGTTCATTTTCTCATATCAAAAGACGATAATTACTCAAAAGCGATATAATTTTGGGACTCCTGTTAGTGATCTGAACAATCTGAAACAGCCTCTCGATGTCTCTTTGATACTCAAAATCTATGCCTTTAGCTTGAAGACCTATATCCATGGTTACAGCGCAAGTCTGTCCAGGAATACCAAACTCTGAATTTTGTCAAGCATTTTAATCTTTCTATGAAGTATTATTACTCCTTTATTAAATGCAAGATTGAGATGAATAAATTAAGCAAATGATAGAATATTATAACACTGAGGACTCTATGATACAAAATACTCTGATCCATTTGCTGTCCTTCATTCCATCCATCAATTCTTTGAGAAGTTCAGGAGTCATGTTCTTATTTAACAAAGAGTATCTAGATTCAAACTGCTTGAAATTATACATCGAGAACGTGATTGAGCTAGAGTCACAGTTTCAGACTTGGAGTGGGTAGTAAGCCTTGCCTGCTTAGAAGCAGAAAGCACACAGTGTAAAGTGTGTTTTAGTTCCTTTCCTTGCCTAACATATGTTTCCTTTCCTTTACATTAGGCCTATATGTTCAGTTCAGCCCATTGACTTGAACTTCATGGACGAATCATCAGAAAATGGTGCAACTAACAAAATTGAGATCAGCATGGACTGTATTCGCATGCAAGACTCAGACCTGAGGGACCCCATGTGGGTGAGTGATGTGGGTTTCCTCTTTAACCTGTGGGCCAGCCGGGCTGTCCACCATCCTATGAACCAGCACTTTAAAGGTGTATATAAAAAATAGGTGGAACTCAGCAGGCAAGACCCTCGCAATGACAGCCAATACAGCCATCTGAGACCCATTAGTCATAGTTTGTGGATGTGCGTTGGCTTCAATTCCCCAGAATGTGTGCTGGAGGATATTGAAAATAATCTTTACATCTTTCATCTCAATTGTTCTTTATGTCAATTCCAATTTGGAGAGGATGATACCACTAAGGTTTTCCAGCTGGTTGAGAGGAAGAAAGAATGAGGATCTAAATCTTATTCTACCCAGAGCACTTTCCACAATGGCAAACTTCCTTTCCCAATGAACTGTTCTGTAATGGCAGAGGAGGAAGTGTGTTCTACACACTTGTTTTGATATCTGGCGATAGAGGAAGAAGACAGAAGATAACTAATGCACAAAACAGAATTTTCATGGCTTTGCCACTGAGTCACTCAGGCCCAAGGCCTCAGTTTCTCATTTATAAAATGACAAGAACTTACATGTCACATCCCTCCCAGGCAAGCCAAGGCGTGCAGGTGTGTTAATGACAGTAACACACTGTTCTGAGATGCTTGGATGATATCTGACATTGTGTAGTCTATAGTGCTGTGGGCTTTTTTCTTTTCCTACTATTTATTTGCCTTACAAAGCTTATTTTTTCTATTTAAATTTGCTATAAAATATGAAAAAATAGAGCTGGTGGGGTGTCTTGAAAAGTGCCTGCTGACGTGTAAAGGCATTGTTTGATGTAAGACTTTACAGGAATCTTCTCTGTGTACTTTTTGACAAATAATAGACATGTTAATGTTGGGAGAAGGTATCACTGAGAAAAGGAAGAGGAAACAGACAAAACACAAACCATTAACCCTGCGAACATGCTTACGCCGTACCACTAATTTGAAGGGAGGATATATTGCATTATTGGTTCTTCATGTCCACACAGATACAATTCTCAATTATCATTGGGCTAATGAAATGAAATGGGCAGATAATTCCAAAGGGACCATCATTTAAGGCCTCAGAATGTGTCACAAGTGAGCACGAAAGTGTAGTAAATTCTGATGGGTAACATCTGCCTAGGCAGAATTAGACTTTAATATTTTCTCCAGAGATCTTTTCTTTTTTTTTTTTTTTTTTGATTCTTGGATTCACAGAAGTAGGCTAAAAGTTATGAAATTTAAAATAAAGCATCACAAATTTTTTAAATTTTATTTTCTAATTTCTGTGATTAGCATTTTGTACACTAATGCCAGAATCTTTTCAGTGGGTCTTGATTTTTTTCTCTTCTTTGTATTTTTGGAAATGATCTTGAAAACACCAGTTCCATTTTTTCCACCTCTCTTTGCAATTTTTATCTGTTCCTTATTGCCGTATTTGTCCTATCGTCCCAAGAAATCATTTCTGTGTCAATATTTCTACTAGTCTGAATTAGGAGTCATCACTCTGAAGCATATCTTTTGTTGTATTGGGCATTGCACAATGTTAATTTGTTTCTCTTCCTCTGGAGGAGTCATAAAAATATTTTGTCTTGCCTAGTGCTTGAGATTTATGTAGTAGGGCCTCACAGAGTAGGACCTACTCTGAAAATGCTGAAAAAAAGAAATAGGACTTTGCCAGCAAACAATACAAAACGCAATAGGACATTTGGAACAACTATTTAGACAACAATATGAAAATAGAGTGAGAATGGAATTAAATGAATAAAACAGTGTGCCTATCTATAGCTGCCCTGTTTCTGACTACAAAGAATGATAACATTGCCCAAACTTTATAATTCCATATGAACCTCCACTCATCCCTTTTCTTATCTACATCTCTGTCTATCTCAAAATCCCTATATCTCTCTCTCTACCTACCGATCTACCTACCTACCTATATCTACAAGTGATAGCTACACAGATGAGACTAAATTACGACAATCTTCCTCAGCAACAGTAGCAACAAATAGTGGTCTTGCGTAAAATGTTGATAAAAAATGTTCTGGTGCATACATTAAGAAATGAGAGACTCTTCAATTTCTAGTCCTTCTAAACTACTGCTGCTACTGGTTCTCTTTTCTTCTTTTACTTGGTCAAATATTTTCACTTTTCCTGTACAGATTAATTACTAAGCAGTTTCCAAAGCCTGCACATAAATTACTTTCTCTTCAGCATAATATTTTTAATAAGTTGGGATGTCAGCCAAGCATTCTTTCACAATTGCAAGAAATATGACTCTATGGACATGAAAAGACACGTCCACTTATTAAGCGCAGGAATCTTGAAATTGAGGGATCCATCCCAGTTTTACTGATTTCAGCTGCAACCTTCACCTTGAAAACTAGTCATGAGACGAACTCACAGTGATTTGCTCTGATCATTAACAAAGGAAATTTGAGTAGGATTGCAGATAATGTGTGTGCCCTCTTAATTAGGATGATTTTAATCGTACTGAGAATGAACTCCCATGGGTTAGCAGATGAAAATGAACAGCGTTTCTCAAAAAAAAAAAAAAAAAAAAAAAAAATTTTTTTTTTTTTCTGCCAGAGATCGAACTGCAAACCTCGCGTTTGCCAAGCAGGCACTTACGCCGCTGAGCTGAACGCTGGCCCTTAAAATTCGTATTTTGAATTGATTGAGATTTTCAAGAGTGGTATCAGTTTTTGCCTCTTACTTAATATATTCCTTACTGCCTCAGCTTTAGGATCTGAGCAAGTACTCGTGGTACCTTCAAGAGATGGAGAATGATAGTAACACGTAGTTGCTTTCTGGGGCAGGATTGGTAGAAGCCATGTAACTCTTACTTTTGCATTTGTTCACTCCTTGTACCTTGAGGAAAGCCCCTTTAACCTCAATCAGACTTTCCCCTAGGAATCTCAGTGGTAATTATCTAAAATGACCCGCTTTGTAAATCCCTATTGTATGATCCCAGGTATCTATGAGGGGTCTTCAGTTCTACTTAGCAAGAGACCAAGAGGCAGTACGTTTGTTTGCTTTTGGACAGGCTTAGGTCATAGCAGCTACTATGTATCCTTTCATTCAAGTCCACAAAATGATCCTCTTGTGCCATCCAGAATTTACCTAAAATTCTGATCACATGGTGCCCTCCCACAGTTGTTTCAAAGACATGCTGTGTTCTTTAGGGTACAGACAAGGGTATCACAGACTCTGACCACAAGAAGGCTATAACACAGCATGAAAGGTGAATGTTTACAAAATTACCTAGAAAATGTATTCCAAGGTATATACATATACACATATTAAAGATACATTTAAAAAGTAATAATTCATTGTGCCTGAGAAAGGCTGGAAATCCATTATAGAGAAAGTGATTTGCAAGTAGGCCTTGAAATTTGAGTAAAAGTGATCAAAACAGTGAGAGAAGGAAACAGTCCAAGTTTGGATAACTGTTACAATTAAAACATTGTGAAGTTTTAAAAATTTTAAAACATTACAAGTTTTAAAAGACAAGTTTTTAGATTTCTACCAAGGAAAAATTTCTACAGGCTACATAAACTCAAAATTAAAAATAATGACAAAAGTTTAGTAGCCCTAGTAAATTGAATACAAAAAAATTGAGAAACATCACCTCCTCATTGGCAATGGGTATCAGTAATTCATCTGGTAACACAGAAATTTTTAACAGAAATAGTGTTTGCAACTTCTTTGCTAATAAAAAATTCACGAATTTAGACAATGTGCACTCTTATCAATAAAGATTTAAATGACTGATAATAGCCAATACAGATGATGTTATTGAAAAGATTAAGCAATTTTTTTCACTTTTAGGGTATAAATTGATATATTGGAAGACAATTTACCTATTCTAATTGACTTAATTTTTAAGACTTTCTTCTTTGGTATATAAGTTCCAGGTACTTATCCTACAAAACCATCAAAACATAAATAAATATTCACATGAATACACACACAGGAGGACGCATACATACACTCTAAAGAAATGCAAGTTTCACTGTAGCATTGTTTATTCTAATGCAAATTGCTAAAATTGGAAGGAATTCTAGAGACCTTAGTTTTGGAACTGAACAGAAAAGAAACCCCTGCAATTCAAAGAAGAGAAGGATGGATCCCATCCTTGAGTGATAACACTAGTAGCTATGATACCTATCATTTTAGTCTTGGTGTTCCTGTGATTCATGATCATTGGTGTGATTTCCTTGTGTGCTTCCTTGGGGCATTTCTTTTATATCCTGAGAATCACTGTGTTGAATTGCTAATTTTTAGCATATTTTCTTAAACCTATAGATGAAGTCATCGGGTCCTGAGATTTCTTGTAGGAGGAAAATTCAATTTCTTCAATATTCATAGAACTATTAAGATTGCCTACTTACTGTGGTTGAGAATTGTCAAACTGAGTGTTTTGAGGGCTTGATTAAATTCATGGACTCATATTTAGAATTATTTGGAATATTCTTAAAATATTATTTATTATAATTTTAATGTGTATGAAATCTGTAATGATACTGTCCTCTTTCATTTCTTGCGTTAGTAACTTATTTTTTTTTACAATGGATTGGCCAATTTCATTTATCTTTCAAAGAGAACACCTCAAATTTTGGTTTTATCATCTTTTATGTATTGTTTTTCTGTTTTCCCACTTCATTTTTTCTAGCCTGATTTCCTAACTTCTACTTCTTGGATTTATCTCTTCTTTTCCAAAGTTCATATTTTAGAAACTTATATTGTAGGGTTGCAAATTTTCTTCTTTTCCAAGACATTTAGCATTTTATTGAGATAAATTATCCATTAGATATTAATTTGCCTGCTTTCAGTAAGTATCTATATATTGCATTTAAACTATTTTTAATTTCCATGAAACTTTCCCTTTGACACACTAGCATTTAGAATCATGTGTTTTCAATATTTTTAAAATTTCCAGTGTTTGTATATTTTCTGTTATCTTTCCATAGTGACGAAGTTTGTTTTTGTTGTGGCTGGAGGGCA